CAAAAACAATATTTGTTTAGGCGTTGTTTAACATAATCCACTGTGTGAACGGATATTATAAAATTTATTAATCAGCAATTACTTCATTTCTCTAATGAATGTTCATTTCTAAATGCTTATTACAACGACAAACCGTTCATGTCATATTTGAAGTATGACTTTAATTACATTGTTTTTAAATATTATACATATTTTTATGATATTATAAATATGTAATTTACAATTTATCATTATATAAATGTGTATAACATTTAACACTAATACATGTGTGCACCACGAGTGTTACCATATTACTAATAAACTTTATTCAAAATTTGTTATATGATATATATATATTTTTACTTAAATGCCAACTTGTATAGTAGTAGCAAATAAGTTTAAACGTGTGAACCTTACGCGCACTCTTTTTTTAATAGTAATTGTCACTCTAATTTTCCAAAACTAAATCTACTTCTATTTTCTATCACATTTTAGTTTATGGTGGTAAAAAAAAAGATATTGAAATACTAGGGTAAATAAGGGCTAAATTTGCTTGAAAAAAAGTTTTTGGAGATTTGTTTCATAAGTTGGGAAAAATTTATAACATAAATTAAATATTATTAGTAAGTTCCAGCAATTTGCCTTAAGGCACGATACCATGCACCATTAGTTACCTTTGCGATCTGTTTCCGCTGTTGGCAGTGCTGTCGCTGGTGTTTGCAGACTCCTGATTGGTCGAAGATTGCTGAGCTGATGCATTTACAGGCATTTCATTGGCCGACGTGAAGCTGTCGGTGCTTGCCAAACTATCAGAGCTGTGTGCTGAAAATTTTAATTGAGATATTAAAGATTTTTAATTATTTATACAATTTATTTAATTGTAACATCTTAAATATTAATTATTGTTCATTCATTGATTTTTTCGACATTAAGAAGCATCATATTGAAAAAAAAATAAAACAAAAAAAAATTTGCAATGGACAAATAAAAATAATAAAATATTTGATATGAAAATATTCAAAATATATATTGTATATATTTTACCTGATCCCAATTGTGGAGTGCTACGTCCAGCAGTATTAGCAGCCTCGCTTTGCTGTGCAGATGCCTCCGTCTGTTCTGCTGCTGTCTCTTGTTCAGGTGGAGCCTCCTGGCTGTCCATTTGCTGAGGATCTCCAATGTGAATAACAGCTTCATCTGTCACCGTTGGGTCACTTGCTTCACGGAATATTGTTATATTTGGAACACCAACCTGGTTAAAAAGGTAAAGGATAAATAAATCGATAAAAGGTACATGTCGCCCTTATATTTTCCACTTACATGCCCGACATCTCCGACATGTGCGATTCCGACTTCCAAAACCTCGACGGCCTGTGTGACGTGCACTGTAGCAGGAGGAGAGTGCATGTCTCTGGGGGGCGAAGCAGCCCTAGGGTCTTCCAAGGCGACGATCAGAGCGTTTGCTCGACGCAACATCCTGCGGGCCAAGTTTAGTCTGCTGGCGCATAACCACGAGCTGGCTCGGGAGAGGCGACCATTTCCTAAAGAGAAAGAAGATGATTTATTTTGTAACTTGGTTGCCAGTAAGAAAATGCTAGAAGTAGAAGGTGGGGCGTCCTGGACTTATCACAATGGTAAGACAAAACTCTCATACAGGTAAGCAGGTCTGTTTTTGGATAAGCTTTTCTTTGGTCTTACTACCAGAAAGAGAATGCTAGGACCTAAAGGTGTTGGTGTCCTGGACTGATCCAAAGACAAAAACAAATCTATCATATAGGTAAGCAGGTCTGTTTTCGGATAAGCTTTTCTTTGGTCTTACTACCAGAAAGAAAATGTTAGAACTAGGTGTTGTTGTCCTGGACTGATCACAATGGTAAGACAAAATACAAAACTCTCATATAGGTAAGCACGTCTGTTTTCGGATAAGCTGTTCTCTGAACTTGCTACCAGAAAGAAAATGCTAGGACTGAAAGGTGTTGGTGTCCTGGACTGATCACAACAGTATGACAAAATACAAAACTCTTATAGTTAAGCAAGACTGGACTATTCTCTGATCTTACTACTTGCTCATCATAAGATATACATAATTTTCTTCAGCTTGTGATAGAAGTATCTTAAGATAAAGCAACAAGATATCGGGAGAGGCGATCATTTCCTATAGTAAAAAATGATAATTTATTTTATAACTTGGATGCCAGAAAGAAAATGCTAGGATTAGAAGGTGTTGGTGTTCTGGACTGATCACAACAGTGTGACAAACCTCAAAACTCTCATAGTTAAGTAGGTCTGAATAAACTTTTCTCTGATCTTACTACTTGCTCATCATAAGATGAAGTAATTTTCTTCAGCTTGTGATAAAAGTATCTTAAGAAAAAACAACAAGTTGTCGAGAGAGGCAACCATTTGCTAAAAGAAAAAATGATGATTTATTCTGTAACTTGGATGTCAGAAAGAAAATACTAGGACTAGAAGGTGTTGGTGTCCTAGACGGATCACAACGGTAAGACAAAACACTAAACTCTCATATTTAAGCAGATCTGGATAAAGTTTTCTCTGATCTTACTACTTGCTAATCATAAGATGAAATAATTTTCTTCAGCTTGTGATAGAAGTATCTTAAGATAAAACAACAAGTTGTCGGGAGAGGCAACCATTTCCTAAAGGAGAAAATGATGATTTATTTTGTAACTTAGTTGCCAGAAAGAAAATGCTAGGACTAGAAGATGTTGGTGGCCTGGACTAATCACACCGATAAGACAAAACAAAAAAACTCCCGTATAGGTAAGCATGTCTGTTTCATAAGATGACAATTTTTTTCAGCTTGTGTTAGAAGTGCCTTAAGAAAAAAAAAGAACAAGTTGTCCAAGAATAGTAAACGCAACCAAAATTGTAGCACAATACAATCTCAACGTAACCAAATAAACTGATTTCCCTTTCTTAACTTACTGGAAACAAATAGAAAGTTAAAGCAAACTACTGACTTTTAAAGGTAGATAAAAATATAGAACCAATTAAAATTAGATTATTATTAATCAATGAACTTGTCTTCAAAATATTTTAGGCCAGTCTTCAAACAAGATTGTTCAAATAAAAGAAAAGACAGGAATATGTCAGACTCAGAGCCAATCATCTAGTGAGAAAAGATAATTTTTTACAATAGCAATAACACATTCTACATTCTATAAACACACTGACACTGACACTGATGTTAAACGCTCTGAAAGGCTAATTGAGGTGGTTACATAGAAACTGCTTAATCAAAATAAAACTGAGTTTTTGCATCAATATGTCACCACGGATATTACCTGGCTTCACCACTACACTCCGGAGTCGAATAGACAATCAACAAGATGGACTATACACGATGACGAGAAAAAATGCAAACAATCAGCTGGCAAAGTTATGACATCAGATTTTTGGGATTCGCAAGTAATGATCTTCATCAAGAATCTTGAGAAAAGCCAGACCATCAACAGTGACTATTGCTTAATGATATTGCAACCGTGCTGCTTCATCAAGACAACGCACCAAGTAGCAAATCCGTGAAACAGTGGCAAGAAAAACATGAATTGGATTCCGAAATGCTTTCCCTCTCACTATATTCTCTAGATCCCCAGCGACCATATCCTGCTCTCAGATCTCAAAAGAATGCTTCTGTGCAGAAATTTTTACCAAATGATCAGATGAAATTTTGTGACAAAGTACAAATCGTACTACAAAGGTGGTTTTGAAAAGTTTGAAGTTCGCTCTGATCAGTATATCGTCTTCGAAGAAAACTATATTGCATAAAATAAAAGAAATTTGCCAAAAAAATTGGTTTTTCTTAGTTATCCTACGGATTTATTGAGTGACTTGAAATATATCGTTTCCAGATATTTGATGGGTGCTTGTAATTTTAGTATTGAGCATGGCAAAGATTCGATTTAAGCCTATACTTTTTTTTTGAAAACTTATTTTAGAAAAACCCGGGTCACTAGATGGAAATCCGGGACTGCCCCGGCGAAACTGAGACGTATGGTCACCTTAATATAGGGGGTCCATAACAAAACAGAAAACATCGCAATGAGTCCATGGTACAAACAAGTTTGAGAACCTATGGTTTAGATATTTAGTATTTTTATTATAAATTAATAACTTTGCGTAAATTATTATTAATAAGGAATTTATGTCTTCGCCCGAAAATTCGGTTGCTAATTTCAAGGCAGAATTAAAACCAATAGTTTTAATGTTGCAACCAATATAATAAATTAACGCACTTTAATTAATTATAAATATTCAATTGAGATTTTGAAGTTTCTCGAGTTAATGTAATTAATTTTGAACAAATTTCAAGTTCAAACATTCAAATTCTACAAACAATACATATCAATTAAAATTCTTTATACATAACAGTAATCATACTAAAACAACATTCAAACGGGAGGCACCACAATTCATCCAAAAATATATTTCCAAAATAACAATCATACAAAAACAATAACAATTCACAATCAATCAACCAATCAATCATATGCTCGTGTCCGAATTGAGATGAACGTTGTTCCTTTCGATTTCGGGTTCGTTTGGATCCCTCAATCTGGCCTGGGGGGCACTGCCAGGGAGCACCCTGATCACCGGATTTATGACCGCAGTCTCGCCGAGCGCACTGGCCGCAGTTTGCTCTAGTGGACAGGGAATATGCATTTGAATTGAGAAAGAAAAAAATTATTAATTTAATTAAATATAGTATAAAAGTGTTTATAAATAATAAGATAATAAGGTAAGTTCTATGATTTGTTTTTACTCCATGCATATTCCCTGCACGAGACTAAAAAAATTAAATGCCCCCACAAAGTGCTCAAGAAAGTTTTAAATAGCAGTTCGATTTTTTTTATATTACGTCGTTTTTGAATAAGCTTTTTAAGATATTTTCTAGTATTTGCATTGCAGGACATTTATTCATACATTAAAATTACGCATTAAATTGATGAGGCAATTCTGCCTCATAACATAGCGTTGTCATGGCAACTGGAAAATATCTATTTCGCGGGATCAGGCACTGTTATCATAACGTAAATCTTGCTTGTTTATATATAATATAAGCCTGATCGCACAGCAAACAGATAGACATTTGCACAATTTTCACTACCAATAAACAAGCATAAGATAGCATTGCAATGACAACGCATGTATGAGGCAGAATTGCCCCATGAAATGCAAAATTAAGCAAAGCCTTGGCTAATTAAGTTCTCTATAGCTTAAAACAAAATTATAGCCACTAAAATTCTCAACAACCTTGTCTTGGAAGAAATGATTTTAAACCAGCCTTGAGTTTTAAAAGCATTTCTAAAGATGCAAGTTCTTTTGGCATTAATGTTCAGACACCGCTTTCTACTTGGGAAAAAATTTATATTCTTGTAAATATCTCACTAATCTTATTCATTATATTTTTAAATTATATCTCAAGTATCATTATAATCGAAATTGTTTTAAAAATTAATTAGCATTGACTAATTTTGTTCTCGCTCCTTGATCTAACTGTAAGATGACTCAAAGTAGATGTTCGAGTAAATTTTTTTACACCATTAAAAATGTCTTAATCTAAACAAATCTCTTAAATCAATTTAATCTGATCTACAGCCTACCTTTAATAAAAGCTCATAGGCTGGCGTTATGAGTTATTAATAAGAATGGTCTATTTTTAAACCATTCCTGACTACAAACATTTCTTAATACATTTAAATTCAACATGCATACTCATACATAAACTCATTTGTGAAATTAAACCGGTCAACCAAAACATCATCTACTATTTCAGCAACTCACCAATCAGAAAAACTTATTTTGTATCATCTTCAGTACATTTTAGACAACTCTACAATACAATGATCTACAATACAAACTTCTATATGACTGGCTTCGCCTTTACCAAAAACAATGGTCCTGTTAGACATTTAGAAAAAACCAACGGACTGAGAAAGTCATTTTTCAAGGCATCTAAATAGATTCAGCAGTTTTCCATTAAAACCTACTTAAAAAACCTAAGGTACTTGAAGTAAAAGGAAAAAGTGAAGGTTGATGGGCGCATCGTCTTATACTTAAGATCTAAGTTTGGCAGAATTAGAACCACGGTGAGGTCAACTTATTTATTATAATTTATTTCATCATGATCCTAGATTTCCTTATGATCTTATGTTTATATCCTTATCTATTAAGAGGCCAACTATTATATTACACAGATGTTGGCAGAACACAAACATACAGCTATAACCACAATAATTCATAACACTGCCCTATTCTGTCTATTCGATGAGAAGACAAAGCTGCAGAGCACACGTGTGCTCACGTTCTAGTGCACAAATTGATGATATGTAGACCTCGTTCAATAAGAGCTTAAACAAGATTCACTAGTAGAAATGATGTTGGCATCAAAAGTTCAGAGCAAGTTTTGTTCGTATCCCACACAAAAATGTGCACATAATGTTGATACAGATTCCTCGTTCAATTGAAGCTTAAACAAGATCGACTGGAAGTGATGTTGGCATCAAAAGTTGCATGAAAAGCCGCCAGTACGTTTGCCAAGAAAAGTCCTAATAGTCTTATATTCTACGTAAAGAAGGAGTAAAGCCAATTAGAGCAAAAGCAAACGTGCAATAAAAGTGCATTCCATGTAAAGAAGGAGAGCGAGTAATGCCAATTAGAGCAAGAGGAAGAATAACATCTTAGTTCATTGGCAAAAATTCGGAGCACGTTTTGTTCGTGTGCCCACGTTTTAGTGCGCAAAATGATGATATACAGATCTCGTTCAATAGGAGCCTAAGCAAATTTCACTAGTAGAAGTGATGTTGGCATTAAAAGTTGCAAACATACACAAATCCATTCACAATATCAATAATTCATCGCTCCACCAGGAATGTTCAGACAATATAAAAATAGTCTACAATCATCAAACACTCAAAATTCATGAACCACCTGCTCATGTGTAGAAGAAATATTAAGCCAAAGACTTACACCAGACACTGTTGCAGAAGTGATGCTGACAATTAAGGCTGCATGGAATGTAATAGACACAATATCAATGATTATCACTCCATCAGGAATGCTCAAACAATATGAAAAAGCCAACATTCATTAGACATTCAAACAAAACTCATCAACCACCTCTGTCACATGTGGAAGAAATATTAGGCCAAAGAATTCCTCTTGTTGTAGAAGTGATGCTGACAACTGAGACGACATGGAAGGTCAAACATACTTGCTACCTAAGTGCTAATAGACGATAAGTATAATTTCAATGTAATAGCATTCTAGATCCTCCCCCCCTTAAAGTAATGGCTAACGGCCGTTTCCGTTTCCATGGCGACCAGAGGCTAAATGCTACTTACAACTAGCAGATATTAAGCCGAAGAATTACTCCAGATACTGATATAGGAGTGGTGATGACAACTGAGGATGCATGGAAAGCCATAGACACATTTGTTAGCGCAGTGCTAATAGACCAGCATTCTTGGGAAATAGAAAGAGCGAATGGAAATAATTAGAAGTATAAATTCAGAGCGAGAATTAAAGCAGTCTAGATCCTCTCCCCGTGAAGTAATGTTTAACGGCTCCGTGGGAACCACAGGCAAAATGGTACTTACAGGAAGAAGAGATTAAGCCGAAGAATTACTGCAGATACTGATATAGGAGTGGTGATGACAACTGAGGATGCGTGGAACGCCATAGACACATTTGCTAGCGCAGTGCTAATAAACCTGCGCTCTTTGGTAAGAGGAAAAGCGAATGAGAATAATTAGAAGTATAAATTCAGGGCAAGAATTATAGCATTCTAGATCTTCTCCCCATGAAGTAATGCCTAACGGCGGTTTCCGTGGGGATAAAATGCTACTTACAGCTAGAGCAGATTAAGCCAAAGATTTACTCCCGATACTGATGTAAGAGTGGTGATGACAACTGAGGATGCGTGGAAAGCCATAGACACATTTGCTAGCGCAGTGCTAATAGACCTGCGCTCTTTGGTAAAAGGAAAAGCGAATGGGAATAATTAGAAGTATAAATTCAGAGTGAGAATTATAGCAGTCTAGATCCTCTCCCCATGAAGCAATGTTTAACGGCTCCGTGGAAACCAGAAGAAATGCTACTTAGAGAAAGAAGAGATTAAGCCGAAGAATTACTCCAGATACTGATGTAAGAGTGGTGTTGATAATTGAGGCTGCGTGCAACGCCATAGACACAGCTAGCGCAGTGCTAATAGACCTGTGCTCCTTGGTAAGAGGAAGAACGAATGAGAATAATTAGAAGTATAAATTCAGAGCAAGAATTATAGCAGTCTAGATCCTCCCCCCACAAAGTAATGCCTAACGGAAATTTCCGTGGGGACCAAAGGCAAGAAAGATGCGGAGGTTATAGTCGGTATTATACCCAAGAAAACGACCAAAAGACCGAGTCTGGAATGCCTCCTCTCAAGCTGCATGAAGAAACCACAACTTCCTATGACATTCTTCATCACTACTGCATAAATAAATAAATATATATACATATATAACATATACGTATACAAGAAATATACATATACATCTACATACATATATATACCTTGGGCGTCTCCCAGATCGTCAGCATAAGGCATTGAGCCAAGGTACACACCGTTCCTGTCAGTATTTGAAGGTCTCATCCTGAACGTGTGGCTGCGACGCATTCCGTTGCCGGTTCTGCTGCCGCTGCTAGCACCAGGACTGCTCCCTGTAGTGGCACTTCTGCCGCCTGCTCCGCTGGATCCGGTCTGCGAGGGCGGAGGCCTCTGCACCAGGTGGATAGCATTTCCGCTAACAAGGGCTAGAAGAATATTAAAGGTAGATCAATATTTATGAAATTGGCATTGTAAAACTACATGGTTGTGTGGTCAAACTTGGCAACTTCAACTAGTAGTGTTTAGTCTGATGTGGTTTGACTAGGTGTAAGTGACATTTTGTTTTTGTAAGAAAAGTTGCAGGAATTTTCCATGAATGTGTGAATGATCGATTTGACCAATAAAAATTACTGAACTGGTGAAATTGTGCCAATAACATTTTCAGCAGCTCATTTTGGAACTAATATGTGATTTCCAATTGTTATCTTTTAGACAATTTATATGTACATATATGTAATTGAAGGATTGAAAGTATTGGGAAGAAGAAGAATGCAGATGATTGACGACTTACGCTAGAAGAGAAAATACAGGAAGCTGAAAGCCGAAGTGCAGGATCAGGAAGCATGAAAGCGGTGGTTTGGAAAGGAGAATACATAAAGAAAATGTGTACGAACACAGGAGGGAAGAAATAGTGAAAATAAAAATGATACTCGATGAAGGGATATTGAATAATTTATTTATGGTGGATCTCACACCGTAGACCTTCCTTCAGAGAGATTACCATTTATTATTGTTATTGTAATGTAATTGTATTAATCGAATTTATCACATAGATGTTCAATGATAAAAACAGAATCACTTTGGTAGTTTTTCAACTTCCCGAAGAAGTTTGTTCCTGCAAGAAAATCCGACTTGCTAAGTGTATGTGTTTTCGACGTTGTAAGTCATTCTTGATTGTTTGAGACCAAAATTGGAAAACATGTGTGTTGTATTTGATCCAAAGCTGGAACAAGTATTTGTGCGTGATTTTTTTCCAAAATTTGACCTTTCGTTGACGTTTTATCAAAAACTGCTGAACCAATTTTAAAAAACTCAAAAAGGACTTGCGTTTGTTAGCTTTTTTGGGACGACCGTCAACAAATGGTCTAACCATACTTTTTCCAAATTTGGTCTCATTGTAAATTTGTAATTTTCTGAAGAAAAAAGTTGTTTCCGCAAGAAAAACCTGCTTGCTAATTTTATGTATTTTCGACGTTTTAAGTCATTCTCGATTGTTTGAGACCAAAATTAGAAGACATATGTGCGTGTGATACAATACTGGAACAAGTATGTGAAATTTTTCCCAAGTTTGACCTTTCGTTGACGTTTTATCAAAAACTGCTGAATCTATTTTGAAAAACTCAAAAAAGACTTGCATTTGTTAGCTTTTTTGTGACAACCGGCGACGATAGTTTAAAAATCGACTCACATATACACACACATATAAACACACATACTTTTTCCAAATTTGATCTCATTGCAGTTTCATTTTAGTCATTGTTTTAAGCCATCCTCAATTGTTTGAGACCAAAATTCAAAATCGAATTCGAAATTGAAATTATGAATATACCACGTATAACCAAGAGGGCCCAAAAATCCTTAGGAAATAGATCACGTGATTAATGGACGCCCTCTTATTTATATAAGAAAATCCAAATAACTTGCTTTTAGGCAAAATTCCACTTGCACCTATATTTGATTCAAACAGAATATAAATCTAGTGTAATTGTTACGAGTAAACAATTCCATTTTATTGTAAACTAGCTGTAAGTGGAATTCTGTCTTGGGGCTATTATGGCATCGTGCCTTAAGGCAAATTGCTGGAACTTCCCGTTGAATACTGAATGTTTTCAAATAGATTATTATAAATATTGTATCATTGTCTAATATAAAATAATAAAATAAAATCTGAAATATTTTCGATATACAAAAAACTAAAAAAAAAAAAAAAAGGAACAAATTTTTTTTTCCAAAATCAATTATTTTGTTAAGACAAGCAGAAAGTTCTTTGAATCATTTAAATCGGACGCTTAGTTCTCTCAAAAACTGCTATTTTTTACATATTTAGCTCCGTATCTTCAAAATGGCTGGGCCTGCCTTTGCCAAAAACTAATAAACACTTCTCCCAATCATTACTAATTGAATGTTTTTTAGATCATTCAAATCGGATACTCCGTTCTCTCAAAAATTCTATTTCTATTTTCTACACCCTTTGCTCCGTATCTTCGAAACGGCTGGACCTGCCTTTGCCAAAAACTAATCAGCTCTTTTCCCTATCAATAGAAATCGAATGTTTTTTGAACCATTCAAATCCGTTGATCCGTGCGCCCTAAAACGTGACTGGAAATTTGTATCCACACATACATACACACACACACACACATACACACACACACACACACACATCCATTTTTTCTGAGGTATGCCAAAACGTTCAGAAACCTTCAAAACGTCGAAAAATGTAAAAATTTTCAATTCCGATTTTCGGCCCATTACAATAACTTACCCTACGGGAAGTTAATAAAAGTGTATCACAAATCTAGTCTGACATTTGAAATTGATACAAAACCCTCATCTATTAAAATAAAACAAGTTTTCAAACTCCATAATAAAACAAAATTTTGACTCGAGCAACCATTAATAATCCAGAATCTTACAAATTCTTAAATGTGAAAATCAATTATTAATTCTAACGATCCCAAATTTAATAAAAAAATTAACATATGTCATTAAATTATAATAATTTTATATGCATATGTCAAAAACACATTTTTGACCATGAAACAATGAGACCAGCCTTAGGTAAAAAAAACCCAATGGGTTTTGAATGTTTTCTGGATCATCTTAATCAATTCAGTCATTCTCATCAAAATCCATACATACACTCATGCACACAAATTTTTAAGGCAGGCCCAATCGTTACAAAGAATTTTTTTAAATCTTAAACACGAAGAAGTTTGTGAAAAAATCTGATTTGCTAATTTTATATTTTCTTGACGTTTCAAGTCTTTCTGAGATCAAATTTGGTAAAAGTATGTGGAAAAAAGTCTTTCGCCGAAGAACGACTGTACTGATTTCAAAATTTTAAAAGCCATTCGATAAGGACTAGCCGTTTCTATTTTAAAAATTCAAAAACTATTCAAAAGATATTGATTGGAAATCGAGTTGATCGTTTTCGGTTAAGATTGTCCGGACAATTTCTTTGTGTTGAAAAAATTTTTCATGAATCTTTGTATGACGATAATTTTGTAGTCTGAAATAACATACTGAGATATTATATGCCTACGATAAGCTGCTGAATTATAAAAAATCATCAAAGTTTGTATGATAAGCATGTACTGTACTTCGTAGCTACTGATTATAGTTGACGTCCACACTTGAAACACATTTCTAGAAATGAAATGTGTTAAACAAATTAATTTAATTTATACAATCACACACAAATAAGTATGTTTCAAAAACATCGATTGGAAATTATATTAGTTATTTTTTAGAGAAAGCAAAAATTATATTTTCGAAATAAACTATAATATATAATAAAATAAATTATTTTATCTAAATAGCTGAATCTCATTGATTCTGTAATTGTGATTATATTAATTATATATACATATGAAAAAGTTAATGCAACTTTAGGTTAATTGAAAGGGGGTCTTCTACCTTGTGACGTCGTTTCTGATACTCATACTACCGAATCGATTTAAAAAAATTAAAAACTGTTCTAAAGATATTAGTTGGGAATGATACTGATTACTTTTAGGTGAAAATCTACCAAGCCGTTTTCTTGCAATTAACTATTGAAACAAAAATTTAAGCCGATGTTTATAGAACTTTTCTGATGATATATATATCATCATCTTATAGAATTTACTAAAATATTACGGCCTTACAACAAGTAGTTTAATTTTAAAAATTCATCAAAGTGTGAGAAAATGAGTAGTTTTTCTGACGTTAGCTAAAATTAAAATTAGACGTTTTACTTGGTCTTAATGAACATACTAAACCATTAAAGTTCTACGGAAATTTACACATATCGGAAAGTTCATGTAACTTGCCTCAAGGCAAAATACCAATAACAACTAGTTCTTAAACTTAAATTCCCATCCAACGGTTTCCAACCTGTGAGGCGTTTCCTCTCATGGGAATGACAGGCTATTCTAAGGCGGGCGCGTACATGTTTTTCCAGAATACTATTTTTGAAAATATCCCAACATTTTTAAAATAGGTTTTTGCATATTTTTACATAATATAGCATAATTAAAATAAAAGTATTTGTAAATTTAAATTGTTAAAGAAATTAAGGAGAGCGCAACAATTTTTTTTATTAGAGCAGGGGGCGCAAAAAAGGTTGGAGACCGCTGTTCTAACCATTCATCCAATCAATGAAAATGTATCAGAATGTTCACCGATTTAAATTAAATAATATGAATAAATTTTATATTTTACCAAAGGTGTTAAACGTAACAATTCTGATACATTTTACAAATTATCACTAAAATAAATCCACTCATTACTCACAAAACTAAAAAACATAACACCTTTATTAAAATATAAAATTTTGTTCATAAAATCAAACATTTTCTTCATGCAGTTTAACGCTGACGAATCACACAATGCACTACTTTATCTTTTACATCTAAAAATTGAAAAATTTGAAAAAAAAAATGTATCGGTTTAAATGATAATTCAATCCTAACCATATTCACAAAGTTTCTTGTCGTCTTGCAAAACTCGTCCACAAAATATCAGTCGTTGTGAATCTGGTGGGATGTTTAGGCTGTCTGATATCTTCTCTTTGAACTGTCTTATTGTAATCTAAAAAATAAAGGAACACATAAGAAATAAATCGATTAATTAATTTACTTTGATGTGTATTGCTGGGTGTATATTAAAGGGTTAAAAAATTTGAATTTATTTCGCCAGGCTGATTCTTTTAGCAGGTTTCTAACATTAGTGAAAGAAATTGTGAATCCAAAAGACCAACTGTATGATTTGTCAACTTTCGCAAAAGTTGTCAATGCTTTTATTTATTGTTTTTCCGTTATGTAGTTGAATGAAACAACCTTCAGCAAAACGTCCTGTGAATAAATTTTCTTTAAAATTAAGTATAGTCAAAGTTGAGGAAAGTATATATTGTATTTAGATATGTTTTTATGTTTTGCCAACATACATAGTTCTAAATAGAAAATGAAAATTTTTGCATATCTTTACGTTTCAGAGGCTTCTGAACATTTTGGCATACCTCAGAAAAAATGGATGTGTGTGTATGTATGCATGGATACAATTTTTCGTCCACGTTGTCGAAAGCACGGATCAACCGATTTGAATGAGTGAAAAAGCAATCGATTTCTATTGATGGGGAGACGTGCTGATTAGTTTTTGGCAAAGGCAGATCCTGCCATTTTGGAGATACGGAGCAAAGAGTGCAGAAAATAGAAATCAAGTTTTTTCGGAGAACACTGCATCCTATTCGAAATATTTAAAAAACATTCAATTCGTATTGAAGGAAAGACGTGATGATTAGTTTTTTGCAAAGGCAATTACAGCTGTTTCGGAGATACGGACCAGAAGTGCAAAAAATAGCAGTTATTATGAGGACGGATCATATAATTCAAAATACATTCTCCTGGTGTTGACGGAGTAAAGAAATTATTAGTTTTTGGGGAAGGCAAAAAAAAGTTCATTTTTCAAAAAAAATTTTTGATTTCCAAATTTTTTTTCTAATTTTTCATTTTTAATTCAGACTAAAAGCATTTAAAAATTCTCGAATATTTCATTACAATAGAGAAAGTTACAGTTATTTGCGTTAAGGCACCACTAGTTTAGCAATAAATTACGAAGAAACGGCTTGGCGGATATCTGTCAAAAACTAATCAGCATTCAAATTAAAAAATCTTTTGAATTTTCAAAATCGATTCAAGATTTTAGGCTAAAACGTGGATGAAACCTTGTACACTTTTTTCTACCAAAAATTTACCAGTGCAAGATCTTGCAAGTTTCATCAAATTGCATTTACATTTTTGAAATCAGTTCAGCCGTTTTTGGGAAAACGTCGATGAAGGGTCTGTTCAAAAAAGCGATGTTTGAAACTTTGATGATTTTTTTATAATTAAAGGACTTATCATAGGCCTGTAATATTTTAGGGTAACCTTTGAGATCGATTCACGATTTTGGAATGCAAAATAGATGAAAAAATTTACACTTTTTTACAATTTACCAAGAAACTGCTCGGCCGATCGTCGCGCTAAAAAGCTGAAAACGTTAGTCCTTATCAAGTTACATCGAATTGTTTTAAATTTTTGAAATCGGTTCAGCCGTTTAAAAAAAAAAAAACGAAAAAGGGTAAAAAATCTGTTCGCACACACACACACACACTTTTTCCAAATTGGGTCTTATTCGAATCAGAATGACTTGAAACGTCGAGAGAACAAAATTAGCAAATTGGTTTTTCTAGCAAAAACAAACATTTCATTCAGGCAGTTAATAAAAGCAAAGAGCACTTGCAATTTGATTATCCTAATAAATATAATATAATTAATAATAATTCTTAACAACATCAATATTTGCATTTATATATAAATGCACATCAGAACTAAATTAACTAAAAGAACAATTGAATATTTTTAGCAGGTTTCTAACATTTGTGAAACAATTTGTGTAATTTTTTGGACAAATTTGTATCCAAAAAACCAACTGTATGATTTGGCAACTTTCGCAAAAGATGTCAATGCGTTTATTTAATGCTGTTATGTAGTTGAATGAAACAACCTTCAGCACAACGTTCTTTGAATAAATGTTATCTAGAATGAAGTAAAGTCAAGTTGAAGAAAATCTATATTGGGATGATTCCATAAACCAGATTCCTATGGTGTTGGATATTAAAAGAAGTTTTTGTTCTGTTAAAAACAGTATTACATCAAATTGTTAACCGCAGAGTCTTGATTTAAAAAAGAAGACAAACAAGTGGTACCAGAGTGAGTCTTCAAGTTAGAAAATTAAAATTTTATATTGTATTTAGATGTGTCTTTTTGTTCTGCCAATATTTTTGTTTTTATAATGTTTTTATGTTGCTGAAGGCATTCTATTGAATTTTGGCTAGTTTCACCAATGTGTATTAAACAATAGTACAAGTGATTGATTGCATAAACCAGATTCCTAATATGTTGGATATTAAAAGAAGTTCCTGTTCTGGTAAAAACAGAATTATGTCAAATTGTTAACCATCAAAGTCTTGATTTATAAAAGAAGACAAACAAGTGAAGCCATTGTGTGTCTTCAAGTTAGAAAAAATATTATGATCAATGGTTTTGTTAATTTTATAGTTTACAAAAGTCCTATTGTTAGTTATGGAAATAATTGAATTCAATAGGTATGAGTTGTTAAAAAACATTTTCAAAAATAATAACATAATATGATGAATAACTATCAATTCATGTTGTCTCATTCTCTTATTGTGATGTTTGGGCAATGTATTGTTTGTCACAATTTTTGCAAATGATTGAATAAACTAAGTTAGTGTTAAATTTAGGAGAGGTGGTAGATTTAATTTTTAAAAACATTTCTTTAAAAGAACAAAGATGTTCTTGAAATGAAAATATTCTCTTCTTTATATTATTATTATTATATATATATATATATATACATATATATATATATATATATATATATATATATATATATATATAATAAAATTCTACTTACATCTTCTTCAACATGAAAGGGATGATTCTGCGAATCCAAAGTTTTAACCGTCAAATCAATCATCATTTTATCTTCCTAGAACAAACAGAATAAAAAGAAGTATTACACCAACTTAAATATACAAAATACTAAATATTAAATACTCAACAATAAAACTCTCAGTTATTTCAATCGTTGTATTCGAAGCCTAAAAATTAAATTGATGTCAATATTGAAAATATTGATAGGGATAAAAATATTGTATATAAGGATTGTCCAAATAAAAAAAACTGGAACTCTGGTTTAAAAAAACTGGTTATTTCTAAATAAAATATTGTTGTAATTAATGAAGGAAAGCAAACAAATAACTTTGGGAATTTAAAAATTATAAAATAGAAGCTTAATACCCATAACAATTCTTAACAAAATAATATTATTGATATTTGAGTTTTACAAGATGTATGTAATTAATAATAATATAAATCTCATTAGTCCTTTTGTAACTACCATGAAGTGTTAAAAATATTATACAAAAATCAATCTTACAGTTAATTTCCTAAAGAAAATGACCACTTTTAATTCTAAAATGTGTTATCAATTTAATAAAATTTATTTATTTATTATTTAAATGTTTATCAAGTACGCAATCGTTTCAAGAAAAGTCTTTACTGTAATTTGTCTGTCTTAATCATTTAAAAAAATATGGTTTATGATCACAAAAGATCATACTCCAGTTTGATTTACAAAATAATTTTATGTCATGTTGTAATAATATGTCTTCTTAGTCAGTGAAAAGTGAAATTTATGAACCAATTCTATCGTGTAGCAGACCAATGTTATGGCAAGGGTGTGCTATGAAGAACTTTCATACTAAATATTGACTAAAGCAATGTGGTTGCTATGCAGTCAGGCGTTTTTCTCAAGTTGTCAGATAGAAAACCTGAGACCGCACAAATGTCAAAAAAACGATCTTAGATAACAGGGTCTTGCTGACCCAGCTTCACAACATACAAGTGACATTGCAGTTTATGTGTAAAACGCGAATGCACAGCAAATACATGACATTTTGACAGAATTCAGTATGATTCAGTAGCATAATGTATGCAAGTTGGGGCGTAACATGGCCTTGCCATAACATTTGTCTGCTATGCGGCAGAATCAGTCCCTAGAAAGAAATATTATAAGTTGAATGATAAATATAATAAGTATAAAAGTTTATACTAGTATAATAACTGTGACATGAAAAAAAATCAGTAAAATTGCTGGACAACAAAGTGTTAATTTATATGTTCTGTCAATTACATGGAAATTAAAATAAAGAAGGTGTAATTTAATCTTACGGTTATAATTTACATAAGATCATGTTGAAGACTGCATGATAAATATATATTTATCACATAGAGACAGGACTAAAACTCATAGGCCAATTCTACTGTTGTTATGGCAACACTATGTTTTGCTTGTTTCTTGGTAGTAAAAACTGTGAAAATGTCCTAATTACTGTACCATTGGACATCTTTCTAAGGTGATCACATTTGCACCTTGTGTCCCGGCAATATTTGTCCCGGATTTAAATCTTTTCTCCCGGATTGTACCCATTTTTCAAAAATTCATAGGTAAATTACCAAAAATTATAAAAAAATATAATTATGAAGAACGTGGAATAGAATTTTATATAAGCCTCGAAAGCAAAAAGTATTACATATATTCTAAAAATAAAGTTCTTACTAAAAGCCCACAATGATAATTAGAAAAAAAAAGATTAATATTAAAAACTTTTTTTTGTTGTAACTTTAAACAGCATTTGGTATTCTAAAGACTTCTGGGCCTTTGTCATCTGTCCCTTTTTACCCTGTTGCCTTAGAGGGCAATTAGTTTCATGGAGCAATTCTGCCTCATAACAAACATAACAGTGTTGCAATAACAATGCTATCTTAATGTCTGTTTCAGCAGAATAGGCTCATCAATAATTTTGTCAGATTTGCTAAATTACTAAGCCAGCTATATGCAGTAAGTCTTCAAGAAAGTTGCAAATGAACTATTGCAAGCAGTCTTCAACATGATAAATTACCCGAATATGTATGTTAATAGTCAAACGCAGTAGACAGATAAAATTAGTATAACAGCCAGTGACACGACAAAATTTCGAATTAAGTACAACAGTCCATTCGTAACTCCCTTGAAGATATATTGCATATAGTTGGCTTAGTAATTTAGCAAATCAGACAAAATTATGGATGGGCCAAGTCTGCTGAAACAGACATTAAGTCTTCTCTATGTGATAAATATAGATTTATCATGCTCTAATGTAAATTATAATCGTAAGACCAAATTACACCTTCTTTATTTTATTTTTAGTGTAGTTGACCAAACATATTATCAACTTTGTTGACCAGCAATATTACTAAAATTTTCTTATATCACTGGCATGAGAAATATTGGTCACCAGCAGTCTTCAACATGATAAATTTCTCGAATGTGTATGTTAATAGTCAAGCGTGGTAAATAGACCTTCTAGAATTAAACAAGCATGTAAAATCTATTACGATAACAATGACCAGCTTCAGGTGTGCTGATAGGAATAATAAGTGTGTACTTAACAAAGAAAATTGTACATAAGTTTCGATCAACAAACTTTTCTTGTAACTTATCCTTTCTATTTGGACAATCCTTATTTTAATATTGAACTGACGTCGCTGTATTTCAGAGGCGGCGGAATTCTTAATTTGTATTTCAATTTTTTGCTTTCTGTACTTGCGACAGAACTCTGATTAGAAGAACCTCCGACCTGTTGTGGTTGTTGTGGTGTTGATTGCGAATCCGAGTTGCTATTTTCCTCATTTTGAGTAATCGGTGCTATATCTTTGTTATTCATAATGAAAATTTTGCAAAAACTACCTCGAATCGAAACGACAATTCCAAGTTACCGAAATAAAAAGTGACAAATGAATAAATTTATGAAGTTTTCAAACTTACCTTGACAGATAGGTTTGGAGATTTTTAATTTTTATCACTCACTAGAAATTTGTAATATTAATTTAATGTAATAAGCAACACAAATGTCATCAAATGTGGAAATGGTGGATCATTTTTAATTTTTAAGAGGACATCTTGTTTTAAGGTACCAACCTTATAGAAATTGACAGTATCTGACAGTTGCGCGGGTCTGGATCATATTTACTACATGGATAGATTGAAGTCTCACTGTTGTTCGTGGGGTCGTTCATCTCATAAACTAATTAATTATTTGTAAGTGACATTTTGCCTCAAGGTAAGTTGCATAAACATCCTGACATTTTATTTAAAATATATTTATAACTAATAATGTATGCATAGACTTTATACTACATGTAGTGTAATGCATAGATAAAAGAAGAGTATAATGGTGTAATGTCTATTAGTGTATGACACTGTGCCTTAGGGCAAATTGCTGGAACTTCCCGTACTATAAGGAAATATTTCAGTAATATTAAATGTTCAGATTATTATAAATATTGTAACTTTCATTATTTGTATTTCATAGACAAAATATAAGAGTTTATAAATTGGAGGACGATCTTTATATATATATTTACATGAAAGGTAAATAAACCAGACTTAATCAAGCCAAGTTTTATTGAAGGATCTTATCTCATTCATAAAAATTATATAAATAAATTGCAAAGTTAAAATTATTTGTTTCAAGAATTTCCTATATATGCTTATGGATATGGATATGCTTATGAAAATGACATTATTCTGGTACGGTACAAACGCTGTCCAGAGAAGCTCTCAAGTTTTAATATTACATTATGCACGTATTTGTTATTAAATCACGCTTGTTTTTTTTAGCAGTTTCCTCAGATTTATATACGTATCGAATCATTCTGAATTGTTTGACACCAAAATTGAAAAAAATATGTGTTTGTCTATAACTCAAAAACGACTACACCAATTTAAAAATTGGTCAGCTTTATTTCGTCAATACAAATAAAATAACAACCATTTTTGCCCTACTTTTGCTACAAATTTTGCCCCATATCTTCGAAACGTCTGGGCATGCCTTTGCCAATAACTAATGATCACGTCTCCTTATCAATAGAAATCGAATGTTTTTTGAATAATTCAAATCGGTTGATCCGCGTTCTCGAAATAGTCGACGAAAAGTTATATTCCGCACACACACACATACCCATACATCCATTTTTAAGGTATGCCTAAATAATCAAGGGTAGTTATAGTGATGAGCCGAAAATTGAAAATACATTTTTTTGCATATCTTCACGTTTTGAAGGTTTTTAACATTTTGGCATACCTCAAAATTGATGCGTGTGTGTGTGTGTGTGTTTTGTACGTCCGCATTTTTTCGTCCACGTTTTCCGTCGCACGGATCAAACCGATTTGAATTGTTCAAAAAACATTCGATTCCTATTGATAGGGAGATGTGCTGATTAGTTTTTTGGAAATACAGATCCAGTCGATACGGAGATACAGAGCAAAGAGTGCAGAATATAGAATCGAAATATTTTTGAAAAAACGGAGTATCCGATTTGAATGATCTCAAAAACATTCAATTTGTAATGATTGGGAGAAGTGGTGATTAGTATTTGGTAAAGGTAATTCCAGACATTTCGAAGAGACAGAGCCATGTACAAATAATGGCAGTTTTTGAGAGAACTAAACATTCGATTTGAATTATTCAAAAAACTTTCTGCTTGTGTTGACAAAACAATTGCTTTGGGGAAAAAATATTAATTTTTTTTTCGAAAAACTTTTTTTTTGTATATTGGAAATATTTCATATTTTAATGTTAATTCTTACTAAAGATCCAAAGCTATATACTTTAAATAAATAATTTTAACTTTGTAATTCAGTTTATATAATTCCTATAAATATTGAAAAATGTTACAGTCATAGATAAGTAAGCATTTATTTATTTACACACAGTATTTATAATAATCTATTTGAAAACATTTAATATTCCTCGAACATTTCGTTTGGTACGAGAAGTTCGAGTAATTTGCCTTAAGGCACGATGCCATACAGGCATACACCATTAGTTTGAAATTTGATTGCGGGTTTAGTTATCCTGGTAATATATAAAAGTGAGTTAGCTTAGTTCGAAAGAAACGTTAATAAGCAATTCGATGCTTTTTTCGAAACTATATAGTCCATGCTGAATGTCGGCACGTTGGCGCGATTAACAGTTTCATTACGCGCCACCGAACTCGTGTCGCGGTTGTAATGTTCGTATTAATGTTTTCAATATTGTCACACCTGACCTCAAGCTGACACAAGAACTAACTAGAAATGTCAAATGTCAAATTGTTTTCATAAAATATACTGTATTTTGAACAAGACTAATAAATTAAACCAAAATATTAAACTATTAAATTAAATTAAACAAAAATATAAATATTAAGTTCTCAAAAATTATATTCTCAAAAGCCATTGTTAGTTTGTGGACATAATCATAAAAATAAACGCTAGAAATGTCTGAAGAAACAAACTTAAACATAATTAAAATTGAACCAACCGAGTGTCCTCAAGTTAAACAAGAATTTGCTGATTATGATATATCAGAAATATGCGCGGAAAACGGAGATGTATATTTACAGCGTTTTTTAAAATCTGAGATAAAAATAGAGGAAGAAATAAAAGAAGAAGCGATTGATGATCAAGATGAGTCCACTAGCACAAATGAAGTAAGTTTAGATCAAACAAATAATAACACGGAGCAACTCCATAAATGTAATATATGCGATAAAACATTCAAAATGAAACGAAATTTAACCCTACATGAAATTGCTCATACTGAAGAACGCCCTCATAAATGTGAGGCTTGTGATAAAACATTCAAAACAACATCATCCTTAAAACAACATAAAGTTATTCATACCCGAAAGAGCTCCCATAATTGTCAGGTTTGTAATAAAGCATGCATAACGATAAATGGATTAAAACGTCATGAAATGATACATCGAGAAAACTTAAATCAACATGAAAAGATTCATACTACAGTAAGCACTCAGTACCCCTGTGACGTATGCAGTATAATATGCAGTTCCCAAGCTGCTTTAAAATTGCATCAAATGATCCATACCGGAGAACGCTCACATAAATGTGAGATATGCGATAAAGCATTTTTAAGAAAATCGGGATTACGTCAACATCAAATGATCCATACTGGAGAACGACCTTATAAATGTGAATATTGCGATAAAGGATGCAAAACAAAAAGAGAATTAAGACATCATGTAGTTGTCCACACTAGAGAAAGCAATTATAATTGCGAAATATGCAATAGAGCATTCACATCAAGACAATCTTTACACTACCATAAAGTGGTTCATACAAGAGAACGTCCTTTTAAGTGTGATATATGCCACAAAGCATTTACAACAAAACAGATATTAAAACAGCATGAAGCAATTCACACTTGTGACAACCCTTACAAATGTGAGATCTGTGGTAAAACATTCACAACAATAAAGAAATTAAAGCGACACGAGTTGATACACACAGCAGTACCCTCCCATAAATGTGACACCTGCAATAAAGCATTTTTGAGAAAAGAGGGGTTAAAGGAACATCTATTAATCCATTCTGGAGAAGGCCCTCATAAATGTGGGGTATGCGGTAAAGCATATACAACAATACACAAATTAAAGCGGCATGAATTAGGCCACGGAGAACGCACTCTTAAATGTGATATATGCAATAAAGCATTTTTCAGGCAAGATAGATTAAAAGAACATCAATTGAGCCACGGAGAACGCACTCTTAAATGTGATATGTGCGATAAAGCATTTTTCAGGCAAGATAGATTAAAAGAACATCAATTGAGACACACAAGAAAAAGAAAATAATATTCTACTTTAATATTAATATTACTTTTCTTTTATTAATATATATTGTATATTTGTTCTTTTGATATTAATCATGTCCACTGATGATGATATAAAATTATTATATTAAGTCACAAAATAAAAATGTTTGAAAAAAAATCATCTTGTTTTTTTAATCAATGTTATTCCATCATGATTCCATCCTTATATAAATTTATGGATATACTTACTTATGTCATTATGTTAGAGGCAATGTGGCAATACTCCTCTGCCCCGGCTTGACAGATTTTAATGAAGTTTTATTTCCACTTCAGTATGGCTAAAAATTGGATCATCTACTTTTCATACCCCTAAGTCAGTGGTTTAACCTTTTTTGCACCTCCACTCTAATAAAAAACTAGTGGGGTGTATGGCATCGTGCCTTAAGGCAAATTGCTGGAACTTCCCGTACCGTAACGAAATGTTCGAGGAATACTGAATGTTTTCAAATAGATTATTATTAATACTGTAACATTGTCTAATATTTATAAGAATTATATAAACTGAATTGCAAAGTTAAAATTATTTGTTTAAAGTATATTATAACTTTAGTCAGAATTAAAAATAAAATCTGAATTATTTTCGATATACAAAAAAAACTAAAAAAAAAATATACATTTTTTTCCAAAATCAATTATTTTGTTAAAATAAGCTGAAAGTTCTTTGAATCATTCACATCGGACGCTTAGTTCTCTTAAAAACTGCCATTTTTTGCACATTGAGCTTTGTATCTCCGAAACCGCTGAACCTGCCTTTGCCAAAAACTAATAATCACTTCTCCCAATCATTACTTATTGAATGTTTTTTAGATCATTCAAATCGGATGCTCCGTTCACTCAAAAACACGATTTCTATTTTATGCACTCTTTGCTCCGTATCTCCGCAACGGCTGGACCTGCCTTTGCTAAAAACTAATCAGCTCATCTCCCTATCGATATAGGAATCGAATGTTTTTTGAACCATTCAAATCGGTTGATCCGTAACTGGAAATTTGTATCCATACATACATACACACACACACACATCCAATTTTTCTGAGGTATGCCAAAATGTTCAGAAACCTTCAAAACGTCGAGAAATGTAGAAATTTTCAATTTCGATTTTCGGCCCATTACAATAACTCACCTTACGGGAAGTTAAAAATGTTAGGCACCCCTTATTTTTTTCAACAATTAATACTCAACTGATATTATCAAATAAAATTTGAACAAAATTTTTTTTCAAAAGCAATTATTTTGTTAAAACAATCAGAACGTTCTTTGAATCATTCAAATCGGACGATTATTTCTCTCAGAAACTGCCATTTTTTGCACATTTAGCTCGATATCTTCGAAATGGCTGGACCTCCCAACCAATATCTTTCGAACGATTTTTGAATTTTCATAATCGATTCAGAATTGCGGGCTAAAATGTGGAAGAATTTTTTTTCACTTTTCTGCTATTTACGAAATATTACGAACGGTTAGGCTGATCGTCGCACAAAATTGATAAACCATAGTCCTCATCGAGATACATCGTATGGCTTTTAAATTTTTGAAATCGGTCCAGTCATGTTTGAGAAAACGTCGATTTAAGGCAAATAATCTGTTCACGCACACCCACACACACACATAGTTTTTCCAAATTTGGTCTCATTCGATTCAGAATGCCTTGAAACGTAGAGAAAACAAAATTAGCAAATCGGATTTTTTGATGAAAACAAACTTCTCCTTCGGGAAGATTATAATAAAACTTAGACAGCATAGTTGGAATTACAAATATATTACATTCTTATATTGTCTAGGGATTGAATTTTATATCCTCATTCTAATAAAGCGTTTTAAAAACAAAATTATTGCAATTATTGGAAATTATATAGTCTATGACCGTAATGAACTTGCAGTTAATGTTCTCAATGTTGTCACTTCTTCTGATGTCATGACACAGAAATGTCAAAGTGTGTAAAGAATTATATCAAAATTAAACAAAACACAAATTAAACAAGCAAAAGAATTTATATTTAAAAGATATTCATTATTGATTTAAATTATATAAATAAAAACTCTTCTTAATTTTTTTAAAAGCCTTTGCTAGTTTATGCATAAGGACCAACAGGTGCTAAAAATGTCTGAAGAAACAAATTCAAACTTAACAATTAAAATTGAACCAGTCGAATATTCTCAACAGGAACAAGAATTTGATGATTATGAGATATCAGAAATATGTCAAGAAAACGAAGAAATATCACAACAGCTGATTTTAAAATCTGAGTTAACAATTGAGGAAGAAATAATTGAAGAGCAAAATGGTGAAACAACTTATGTATGTGAAGAAGAAATCAATGAGTCAAGTAATGAAGTAGAAAACAAAAACACAAAACAGCCCCATGAATCCACAAATGCTGAACGTCCATATAAATGTGCAACATGCAATAAAACATTCAAAACTAAAATTGTATTGAAGCGACATGAATCAGTTCATACTGGAAAACGCCTTTTCAAATGTGACATATGCCACAAAACATTTTCAGCAAACTATATTTTAAAACAGCATGAAACGCTCCACACCGGAGAAAGCCCTCATAAATGTGAGATGTGTTACAAAACCTTCACATCAATGCAAGCATTAAAACGGCATGAAATTGTTCATGCCGAAGAACGCTCTCATAAATGTGAGACATGCAATAAAGCATTCTTAAGAAAAGAATCCTTATCGCACCATCAACTGATCCACACTGGAGAACGACCATTTATCTGTGAATATTGCAATAAAGGATTCAAAACAAATCAGGAATTAAAGCGGCATGAAAATGTACACACCAGAGAAAGCGATCATAAATGCACAATATGCAATAAAGCATTCGGAACAAGAAACAACTTAAGAAGACATCAAATGATTCACAACGGAGAGCGCCCTTACGAATGCGGAATATGTAATAAAACATTCCAAGAGAAACATACATTAAAAGTCCATCAATTGACCCACAGTGGAGATCGACCTCATAAATGTGATATCTGCAATAAAACATTTGTAAGAAATGAGGCTTTAACTATACATCAAATGATTCATACTGGAGAACGACCATATAAATGTGAAACTTGCGGTAAAGCATTCAAAACTAAACAAGAAATAAAGCATCATGATGTTATCCACACCGGAGAAAGTGATCATAAATGTGGGATATGCAATAAAGTATTCATATCAAATACAACGTTGAAGCGACATGAATTGATCCATACTGGAGTAAAACCTCATAAATGTGAGATGTGCGGTCAAGCATTTTTGAGAAAAGACAAATTAAATAAACATCAATTGATTCATACTAGAGAAAAAAAATAGTTATTTCACTTTTTTTTTAATAGTATATTTTATATTTGCTTGAATTGAAAATAAAGATATTTTTGAAACTTCATTCTTTTTTATTTGGTTTTATTAACTTTCCCTAAGGTAAAATCGCAAAGAAATCGAAAATAAAATTTTGTATATATCTTTACGTTTCAAAGGTTTTTGAACATTTTGACATACCTCAGAAAAAATGGTGTGTGTGTGTGTATGCATGTAGGAATACAATTTTTCGTCCACGTTTTCGGGCGCACGGATCAAACGATTTTAATGGTTCAAAAAACATTCCATTCCTTTTGATAAGACGTGCTGATTAGTTTTTGGCAAAGGCAGGTCTAGCCGTTTCGAAGATAAGTGGCAAAAGAGCCAAAAATTGTATTTCAGTTTTTGAGAGAACGGAGCGTAATAATTCAAAAAACATATTATTAAATTCCCGTAGGGTAGTTATAGTAATGGGCCGAAAATGAAAATTTTTGCATATCTTTACGTTTCAGAGGTTTCTGAACATTTTGGCATACCTTAGAAAAAATGGATGTGTGTGTGTTTTGTAGGTATGTGTGTAGACATGCAATTTTGCGTCCACGTTTACGTGCGAATGGATCAACCGATTTGAATAGTTCAGTAAACATTCGATTTCTATTGATAGGGAGATGTGCTGATTAGTTTTTAGCAAAGGCACGCCTAGCCGTTTCGAAGATAAGGAGCAAAAAGAACAGACCATCGTAATTAAGTTTTTGAGTGGACGAAGCGTCCGATTTGAATATTTCAAAAAACATTTTATTTGTATTGACTAATCGAAAAACTGTTTTAATTTGCCGGAAAGGCAGGTGCAGCGGTTATGGACTCGCTTTTGCTTGTGTAGACTGTGTGCAAAAGATGCTTTTACATAAAATTTCGTAACTTTGAAAATATTTAACAAAACACAGAATTTTCAAAAAAAAAAATCAAGTTTCAAGAAATTCAAAAAATATATCAAAGTTTTGAGAAATTTAAAAAAGTATTACAAATTAAATAAAAAAGATTTCTTACACAAATTTCAGAAATTTCCAATGTTTCAAGAATTTAAAAAATCGATTTGTTTCCAGAAATTCCAAAAAAAATCGAACTTTTAAAAAAAATTCAAAATTTTGAAATAAAATCAAATTAAAAAAAAAATTAAACAAATTTCTTGTGAACATACACGTAAGTTATTTGTAAAATACGTTAGTCGCCCAATTTAATAAACACTTATAAATTTACAGTATTTATAATAAATAATCTATTTGAAAATATATAAAACAATTGTAAATAATTAATGAAAAATTTCATTGATTTTTGATTATCCTCATTTCTCGAATGTTCAATTAAGGTACGGAAAGTTTCTGCTATTTGCCTTAAGGCATCGTAATTGCTGGAACTTCCCGTACCGTAACGAAATGTTCGAGGAATGTTAAATGTTCTCAAATAGAATATTATAAATAAATACTGTAACCATACTGTAACATTGTCTAATATATATATATATATATATATATATATATATAATATTTATAAGAATTATATAATCTGAATTGGAAATTAAAATTATTTATTTGAAATTAAAATTAAAATCTGAATTATTTACGATATACAAAAAAAAAAATTTTGAAATGAAAAAAAAAACAAACAACTGTTTTGTCAACACAAGCAGAAAGGTTTTTAATCATTCAAATCAGATGCTTAGTTCTCTCAAAAACTGCAATTTTTTGTATATTTAGCTCTGTATCTTCGAAATGCCTGGAGCTGCCTTTGCCAAAAACTAATCACCACTTCTCCCAAACAATACAAATTGAATTATTTTTGAATCATTAAAAGTGGATACTCCGTTTGCTCAAAAACTCGATTTTATTTTTTGCACGCTTGCTCCGTACTTTCGAAAACTGCTGGACCTGCCTTTGCCAAAACTAATCGGTACATCAGTTTTACAAATCAACAATCAACAATCATCTCCCTATCAATAGGAATCAAATATTTTTTAAGCAATTGGTTTGAGAGATTCGTGCGCTCGAAAACGTAGACTTAAAAATGAGGACATACAAAACACACACACACACCAATTTTGAAAAAAAAAACAATTATTTAAATGCTTTTTCTAATTTTTTTTAACTTACCGTTGTAATCCAGTTATTGTAATCGTCCAAAAATCGAAATTGAAAATATTTACATTTCTTCACGCTTTGAAAGTTTCTGAACATTTTGGCATACCTCAGAAAAAATGTGTGTGTAAATAAACGGATAAAATTTTTCATTCATGTTTTCGGGCGAACGGATCAACTGATTTGAATAGTTCGAAAAACATTCGATTTCTATTAATAGGGAGATGTGCTGTATGTTTTTGGCAAAGGCAAGTCCAGCCGTTTCGGAGATACGGTGCAAAGAGTGCAGAAAATAGAAATCGAGTTTGTGGGAGAACGGAGCATCCGATTTGAATAATCCAAAAAACATTCAATTCGTAATAAAGAGGAGAAGTGGTGATTGGTTTTTAGCAAAGGCAGGTCCAGCCGTTTCGAAGATATCGAATTAAATGTGCGAAAAATGGCAGTTTTTGAGAGAAATAAGCATCCGATTTGAATGATTGCTTTGAATTAGTACTGCTTTAATATTTTCTGCTTGTGTTGTCGAAACGATTGATTTTGAAAAAGAAATTGAATATCAAAAATGATTCGAAATTTATTTTTTTTAGCTAAATTTATAAGGCTTAATTTGCAATTCAGTTTATATAATTTTTATAAATATTAGACAATGCCCTTCATTTTCAATTCGATTGATTGAATTTTGTTTATTAACTTTTCTGTAAACATATACAGGTTACAGTATTCATAATAATCTATTTGAAAACATTTAATATTTCTCGAATATTTCGTTACGGTATGGAAGTTCCAGCAATTTGCCTTAAGGCACGATGCCAAACACCACTAGTTATTAATAAGTTTTGCTTAATAACTAATAACTAACAAAATAATATTTTTGTTGTTAACTCTAATATTTGCAGACTAAAAATTTTCAAACAAACGCGTTAGGTGAGGTTGCACCTTTACAAACACTGAAATTATAATTTTTTGTTGGTCACACTGACATCATACATGAAGTATCTGCAGTTGCGCAGTTTGACAGATGATTCTAGATTATTATTATTTACTAAAGTGTAAAGTAATTTAAAATTAAAGTTTACAAATCAACTATTACAAAAAATAACATCTAATTATAAGAAACTAAATCCTTTACCTTCTAATTCCTTTCCTACATGACATAAACAATGCCGGTTGATAAATTAAAAGAAACACGACCATCGGATGAATCAAATGAACAAATCATAAATGACTTGACAAATAATTTAGGAAATTTAAATACAAACGTAGAAAATAATACCAAAGTAGAAGATGATATAAAAAACGATGATGGAGACCATGAAGGGCCCCCTCAAGACGATGATTTTATCGATGAGGTAGCTTTAAAAGACCAAGAAATCAATCTTAGTGAATCCGAAAGACTGCAAAGGAAAGCTGATGCTGACACAGCTAAAAGTAGAGGCAATGATTTTTTTAAAATTGGTGAATTTAGCAAGGCTTTAGATGAATACACGCTAGGGCTTAGGACTTGTCCATTGAATTACGAGCAGGAGAGGTCTATTTTGTACTGTAACAGATCGGCTTGCAAAATGAAGATGCAGTTGACGAAGTCTGCACTGGAGGACTGCGATAAAGCTATTGAGTTGAATGATAAATACGTCAAAGCATATGTCAGGTAATAAAAAAAAAAGGTTCACATAACAATTTTGATTAATGTTTATGAGTAATATTGTAATAGTCGTGATGCACACATTTTTTAATGTCAAACATTATACATATTTATATAGTAAAAATTATAATACCATTAAAAAAATTTATAATGCTTGAAAATAATAATGTTTTTAAAGTCACGCTTCAGACATGATCGGTTTGTCATTGTAATTATCATTTAAGACTTGTACCTTTTTTAAACAAATGAAGTAATTGATGATTAATATATTCTATAATATTCGTTCACACAATGAACTTATAACAATCTTGAACAATTTCATTAACACTATCAATAAATAAACTGCGTAGATGTCCATTATGAAGTATATCTGTATATAAATGATACACAGCTACACAAACTATTGTTGTGCTTGATCTCTTGTTTAGATCAATAAATCTGAATATCAATTCATTCTTCGTTATTTATAAAAATATACAACTTTGTAATACTTAATAGCCATCATGATTAAAAGACATGTATACTTCCCTAAACTTCCACCAGTGTCTGAGACTTAATTGTCAAAAAGATATATCTTCGACATAATAGAATAAAGCTGTACTGCTTTAATATTTTTTAATACCTATAAAATTGCAGAAAATTATTATGTTAAACAACGCCTAGATAAATATTGTTTTCGCAATTTCACTCATCATGTAATTGTGTTTGAAGAACTTCATGTAATTAAAATGAACATACATTCATTAACTGCTTGTTCATTTACTATTTTGCTAGCGATACAGTCTCATTCTGTGAGCACTGTAATAACTGTCTCGCTTATAAAAATTAATTTAATAACCTCAAAAATATATAGTAACCACAAATAATACAAATTACTTCAATAAACTCACTTTTTTTTCATTTGTTTTATTATTTTCACTATAAAATCAAAGCAATCATACTCAAGTGACACGACGACCAATCACAATCGACCCGTATAGAAATGATATCATCGAGAGCGAATGACGAATCATTGGCACTCGACTCGGCCGTAACGCTTTTTCCGTTGCATTTGCACAGATTTACAACTTGATCGCGCCTAAAGAAGTTTTACTTCAAGTCTTAATCTTAATGTTGCTAGAATTTTGAGATTAAACTTTATATGACGAATCATTGGCACTCGACTCGACCGTAACGCTTTTTCCGTTGCATTTGCACGGATTTACTCTCTAGTCGCGCCTAAAGAAGTTTTACTTCAAAAGTCTTAATCTTAATGTTGCTAGTATTTTGAGATAAAACTTTATATGACGAATCATTGGCACTCGACTCGAGCGTAATGCTTTTTCCGTTGCTTTTGTACAGATTTACACCCTAGCCGCGCCTAAAGCAGTTTTACTTCAAAAGTCTTAATTTTAGTGTTGCTAGTATTTTGAGATAAAACTTTATATGACGAATCATTGGCACAAGACTCGAGCGTAACGCTTTTTCCGTTGCATTTTTACGGATTTACATCCTAGTCGCGCCTAAAGAAGTTTTACTTCAAAAGTCTTAATCTTAATGTTGCTAGTATTTTGAGATAAAACTTTATATGATGAATCATTGGCACTCGACTCTAGCGTAACGCTTTTTCCGTTGCTTTTTCACAGATTTACTCTTTAGTCGCGCCTAAAGAAGTTTTACTTCAATTAACAGTATCTGTATTTTCATTAATTAATATTCCAGGAGGGCTCAAATTCATGAACAGCTCGAAAAACTAGACGAAAGTTTAGAAGACTACAAGAAAGTTTTAGAATTAGATCCTTCCCATGCTGAAAGTAGAGCAGCTGTCCATCGTCTCCCACCCATGATCAACGAAAGGAACGAAAAACTAAAAACAGAAATGTTAGGAAAGTTGAAAGATTTAGGAAATTTAGTATTGAGGCCTTTCGGATTGTCTACAGATAATTTTGAAATGAAACAAGACAGCAGTGGGGGTTATTCGATTAATTTCAACCAAAATCCAAAGAACTAGGGAAGAAAATTTATTATATATCTAAATCATATTTATAAGCTAATTTTTTGGGTTAGCGTAAGAATATGTAAAAACAGTTATGAGTATTGTTAATTGTAGCTCAGAAATTTAAATGTATTTATTGATATCAAATTTTTTAATATTTAAATAAAGTTTATTATTCCGGCATTCATGTTTGTTGTAATATAAACTGCACTCATTATTTTAAACCAGTGGTTTCCAACCTTTTTTGTACCGCGTCCCTCTGCTTGTAAATACTCATTTGATATTATCAGACTACAAATTAATATGCAATATTATAAAAATATGCATAAAAACTAATTATTTTATGTTTATTTTTTTATATCAATCCAAAATATTAAGTTATTTTTGACAATAGTATTCTGGAAACAGATGTATGCTCCCCCCTTGAACAGTCTGGCGCCTCCCTAGGGTGCCTGTCTTAAACTATAACTAGTGGTGTATGGCATTGTGTCTTAAAGACACTTGTGTACCGTAATGAAATATTCAAATGTTTTCAAATAGATTATTATAAATACTGCAACTTTCATTATTCATATTTTATAGACAAAATATAAAAGCTTATAAATGGGATGACAATGTTTATAAATGTTTACATAAGAATTAAATAAACAAAACTTGATCAAGCTGAGTTAGAATGAAGGAACTTATCTCATATTTCTAAGAATTATATAAACTGAATTGTGAAGTTAAAATTATTCATTAAAGTATATTTGTGAGCTTAAGAATTTTAGCTAGAATTAGAATTGAAATCCGTATCATTTTTGCTATTCAAACAACATTTCTTATAAATAAAAAAAAACTAGTAGTGTATGGGATCGTGTCTTGAAAATCTGAATTATTTTCGATATACAAAATATAATTTTTTTTTGAAAATAAAAAAAATTGAAATAATTTTTTTTCTTCTCCCAAAAATAAACGTTTCGTCAGCACAAGAAGAGGGTTTTTTTTGAATCATTCAAATCGGATGCTTATAAACTTCCCATAGGGTAAAAGTTATAGTAATCGCAAAAAAATCGAAAATAAAATTTTTTATATATTATTTCTGACATTTTGGCATACCTTAGAAGAAATTGATGTATGTATATGTAGGTGCGGATACAAATTTTCGTCGACGATTTCGAGAACACGGATCACCCAATTTGAAGGATTCAAAAATATTCGATTTGTATTTATAAGGAGACGCGCGCAAAGGCAGGTTCAGCCGTTTCCGAGATACGGAGCGAAGAGTGCAAAACATGGAAATTCAGATTTTTCAGAGAACGGGGCGTCCGATTTGAATGATTCATAAACATTTTATTTGTATTGACAAAATAAAGAATTGATGAATTTTTGGGAAGGCAGATCTAACGGTTTTGGAGATTCAATTAAAAAACTAAAAATAAATGCCATTTGGGAGACAAAAATGATCATTAAACATATGCACATTAAATTATCACATATTTTATAGATATTTTAATAATAAGAACAAATATTTGTTTACTTTTCTATGAGTTCCGTACCAATGTTTATTCGTTACACTGCAATGCGGCGCTCACGCGCTTCTTTATTTCATTTCGACGCAGCTAACGTATCGCGATTGCTATAAAAAAAATCAAAATTTCCAAAATATTTCAAAGTACAAAAAAAAATTCCAATTTTTCAGAAGGGTCAATTGTCAAAGTTTTCAAATATTTCAAAAGTCTCAAAAATCTTTTTTTTCCAAAGTTCTAAAAAAAAATAATCTGTATTAAAAATTTAAAATTTTGGTACAAAAAGTTTCAGTAATTTGCCTTAAGGCACGATGCCATGCAGCACTAGTTTCTCTCAAAAACTGCCACTCCAAAACGGCATGTCGACCTTTCCCAAAAACTAATCAGCACTAAACCCCGTAAGTAGGAATCGAATGCTTCTTGAATCATTCAAATCGGTAGAGAACTTGGACGAAAAATTGTATCCACACACACACACATACATACATCCATTTTTTCTAAGATATGTCAAAATGTTCAGAAACCTCTGAAACGTGAAGATATGCAAAAATCTTCAATTTTGATTTTTGTTATACGAAAATATCTGCGCCTGAAATCATGTTCAATTCATTATTATAGCTTACAGATTGATAAATAAATAAAAATATTTAAAAAAAAAGATTTTTTTTTAATCATAATTATATTATAGTAATGGCTCTTTTGCATTACTCCATTCTCCAATTTAACTGCAAATGCAAAAATAATAATGATTCCAAAACCAAACTAGGCTTAAGGCAAACCTCAGAAACTTCCTGTACAGTAATAAAATATTCAAAAAATAATAAATGTTTTCGAATAGATTATTATAAATACTGTAACTTTCATTAATCTTATTTTATAGACAAAATATAAGAGCTTATGAATTGAACGACAAGATTTATTCAACTTCCAATCCGATTTAAAATAAAGGACATTGTCTAATATTTATTATACAAACTGAATTGCAAAGTTAAGGGGGTCTTCCTATGTGATGGGTTGAAAAAATCGTTTTTTTTTTCATAAATTGATCCCTTAACATGTCTAGAATACGGTGGTAAAGCGATTTTAGAAAATTCGAAGTCGTTTTAAAGATACAGCAGGTAAAAGAAAGAGCGGAGTTTTTAACGGACTTGAAACTTTAAACGCGTTTTTCTCAAAACTGTGTTTTTCAAACTTTCCTCCATTGTATCTTAGAAACGGCTGGACCGAATTACTTGAAATTTACAGGGCACACTCAATATATTTAAACGCATGGACTATTATCAATCGAAAATTTTCAAAACTTCGATTTTTTTATAGCAAAAAACAAAAAAAAAACGCCTAATTTGCAACTTTTATTTCAAATGCCTATCAAAAATCCAATTTTTTTTATATTCATTTGATTATAGGTCATTCCGTGCTTTTAAACCTACAAATTAAAACGCCGTTTATTTTTTTTTTTTAGATAAGCCGATCAGCCGGAATCGTGGAGAAAGTGGGAGCTCTTTTTCTCGAGGCGGGGGTGTTCAGATCGCTGTAACTCCATTTTGACTAAATATTTTTAGCTGAAATTTTATATTTATACTGTCCAAATATGTGTTAATAAATGATAAAAAAGTTGAAGCTCTAAATATTTACTGATCGTAGAAAAAAAATCCTAAAATATCCCTAAAAAACAGGCCGTCACATAGGAAGACCCCCTTAAAATGATTTATTTGAAGTATATAAAAGAGCTTCTCCACTTTATGTAGAATTAAAATTTAAATCCGAATTATTTTCTATATTCAAAAACATTTTTTTAGGAAATTAAAAAAAAAAAAAAAAAAATTCTCTCGTTTCGCCAACACAAGCAGAATGCTTTTTGTGTCATTCAAATTTGATGTTACGTTCTCTCAAAAACTCGATTTCTATTTTCTACACTCTTTGTTTAGTGTCTCCGAGACGGCTGAACCACCTTTTGCCAAAAACTAATCAGTATGTGTCCTTATCAATAGGACTCGTTTGTTTTATTGAATCAATCAGTCAAATCAGTCAATCCGTGCGCCCGGAATCGTGGACGAAAAATTGTATCCATACATATACATACACATACCCATTTTTCCAACATTCTAGATCCTCCCTCCATGAAGTAATGCCTAACGTTTCATTTTTTTTTCTTTTTTTTTGTATATAGAATATATAATTGAGATTTCAATTTTAATTCTGGCTAAAAAAAAGCTCACTTATATACTCTAAGTAAATAATTTTAACTTTGTAATTCAGATTATATAATTCTTATAAATATTAGACAATGCTACAGTATTTATTTATAATAATCTATTTGAAAACATTTAATATTCCTCAAACATTTCTTTACGGTACGGGAAGTAACAGCAATTTGCCTCAAGGTCCGATGCCATTGTTTGGATAGTATTTCCAAATTTATCGCAAAACAATAAAAATGTCGCGCAAAAGGTTATAGATTAATTCCACACACTTCATAAAAATATTTATTTAAAACCGAATTTCTCCATTATGTCTTCAACCAGTTTTTAAATTTTTAAAATTTTATATACTAAAGATATTATTTTAGGAAAATAAGTAAGCATATGGTTTAAAATTCATATATCAACATCAACAAATCATTGGAATAAATAAATTTATATTTCATTAGTTAAACAATATAATCTCAATAATAACATATAACACACACCTGTTCAAATAAAATTAATTTGTTTTCTTTCTCCTTTTCCTGCCTTTGTTTTTCATAAGTTTTCTTTCAAGATAATTAAGAGAAAAATTACGAGAAAATCGTAAAGTGCCATCAAAGTATTGTTCAAACCATTTTCTGACACAATCATGTTATCATTACAATCCTCTTCAATGATTGATAAGTCACGTGTTTGTTCAATTTTTTTACAAATTGCTTCATTTCTTGCTTTCAACACCTTTTGCTTTTCTGATAAGACAAATGGCTCTTGGTTGGAAGAGGAATCTAAAGAAGATGCAGGGATGTTCAATCTTTCCAATTGCACAAAACATGGAAGCAGATTCAATCCACTTGTTGATGGAGTAGGATCTTTAGCAGCGGGGTCCTCCGTATAATCACTGAGTTTGGCAAACAAGTCATCTGCATTTGATACTAATAATGCACCAGGTTCAATAGGAGTAACACCATTTTCTGACACAATCATGTTATCATTACAATTCTCTTCAATGATTGATAAGTCACGTTTTTGTTCAATTTTATTACAAATTGCTTCATTTTTCGCTTTCAACACCTTTTGCTTTTCTGATAAGACAAATGGCTCTTGGTTGGAAGAGGAATCTAAAGAAGATGCAGGGATGTTCAATCTTTCCAATTGCACAAAACATGGAAGTAGATTCAATCCACTTGTTGATGGAGTAGGATCTTTAGCAGCGGGGTCCTCCGTATAATCACTGAGTTTGGCAAACAAGTCATCTGCATTTGATACTAATAATGCACCAGGTTCAATAGGAGTAACACCATTTTCTGACACAATCATGTTATCATTACAATTCTCTTCAATGATTGATAAGTCACGTTTTTGTTCAATTTTATTACAAATTGCTTCATTTTTCGCTTTCAACACCTTTTGCTTTTCTGATAAGACAAATGGCTCTTGGTTGGAAGAGGAATCTAAAGAAGATGCAGGAATGTTCAATCTTTCCAATTGCACAAAACATGGAAGTAGATTCAATCCACTTGTTGATGGAGTAGGATCTTTAGCAGCGGGGTCCTCCGTATAATCACTGAGTTTGGCAAACAAGTCATCTGCATTTGATACTAATAATGCACCAGGTTCAATAGGAGTAACACCATTTTCTGACACAATCATGTTATCATTACAATCCTCTTCAATGATTGATAAGTCACGTTTTTGTTCAATTTTTTTACAAATTGCTTCATTTCTTGCTTTCAACACCTTTTGCTTTTCTGATAAGACAAATGGCTCTTGGTTGGAAGAGGAATCTAAAGAAGATGCAGGGATGTTCAATCTTTCCAATTGCACAAAACATGGAAGTAGATTCAATCCACTTGTTGATGGAGTAGGATCTTTAGCAGCGGGGTCCTCCGTATAATCACTGAGTTTGGCAAACAAGTCATCTGCATTTGATACTATTAATGCACCAGGTTCAATAGGAGTAACACCATTTTCTGACACAATCATGTTATCATTACAATCCTCTTCAATGATTGATAAGTCACGTTTTTGTTCAATTTTTTTACAAATTGCTTCATTTCTTGCTTTCAACACCTTTTGCTTTTCTGATAAGACAAATGGCTCTTGGTTGGAAGAGGAATCTAAAGAAGATGCAGGAATGTTCAATCTTTCCAATTGCACAAAACATGGAAGCAGATTCAATCCACTTGTTGATGGAGTAGGATCTTTAGCAGCAGGGTCCTCCGTATAATCACTGAGTTTGGCAAACAAGTCATCTGCATTTGATACTAATAATGCACCAGGTTCAATAGGAGTAACACTAGTTTCAGCCTCAGGATTAATATCAGAGGAACTATTCAACTCATTGGCTGAAGAATAAAGTGGTAAACCATTGTCTCTAGTTTCCATATCAAATTTTGAAAATATACCACCAGAATTTTCGGAGGTATATAAAGTAGAAGTGACTTCACTAACGTTGTCTGAACATATGTCAACATTGGAGATAATGTGCACCTCATTGGCTTCTTCAATAAACTGGACTTTCCTAGATTTTCTAGCAATTTTATTTGCTATTTCATCAGAATGTTGCGGTTCAACTGTTTGATTATGTATAGTAGCAGATGAAGATTTTGATGATGAAGATTCATTAGCATCAATTGCACTGTTAGAAATGTCTGATAAGTTTTGAAAATAAGACTCCTCACTTGTGTTTGAGTTTGGTGAAATGTTTTCATCACAGAATTTATCAGCAGATGCCAGTTTGGAATCAGAAACTGGATTTGTCTGAAGAGCTGGTGATGCTTCTACAGCATGTTGGTCTGTGTTTAAATTGGAAACCAGAGAGAAAGGCAAGTTGGGGAAATTAAGGAGACTGGGTAAAATATTTGTATTGCTGCCAGATCTGACTCTATTACTTTCCTGACTAATCACAAGTTCTTCTCTAAATACATTTCTTTGATATTCATATAAATATTGTTGTGATTGGAATGAATTATGAAGAAGCACATTGTTGGGCAGATCACCTACATTGACCATTCTAGTCAATGATGAATTTTCTGAAGTGTCTTCACTAACGTTGTCTGAACATATGTCAACATTGGAGACCATGTGCACCTCATTGGCTTCTTCATCGAACTGGACTTGTCTAGATTTTCTAGCAAATTTATTTGCTATTTCATCAGAATGTTGTGGTTCAACTGTTTGATTATGTATAGTTGTAGCAGATGAAGATTTTGACGATGAAGATTCATTAGCATCATTGTTTGGCAGATCACATACATTGACCATGTTATTCAATGATGAATTTTATATTGGTTTTATGTAATTAGCATTTTCATCATCTTTAGATGCTACCTGTGAGCTTGTAGCTAATGGAACAAACGATTCTTGAGTATCAGTATACAAATGTGCAATATTTTCAGGAACATCAGGAACAAGTGTGATTAGATTAGGACTTACATTACTACCTAAAGATAATCTTTGTGCGTTGATCAGATAAAACGATTCTAAACTCAAATTAGTCCTAGATATCAACAGATGGTTCATTAATAAATCTGGTTTTGGATTTGACTCGTTGCAATCCATAATATTTTTGGGTTTAATTATTTTTAAAATGTTACTTAAAGCTTTTGAAGTAGTGTTGTCTGAGTATGGAATAACATGTATACCTAATTTTCGAAGATCAAATACCTCTGATAAAGAATAAAATGGTGATACCAGAATATGGTGAACTTGGTTTTTTATATAACGTCTGAAATTGACAAATAAAACATGGATAATAGATTTATAATCATGCCAAAAAGATTTATATTGAAATACCTGAAACACTTTTGGATATCTTGACTAGTTTCTGATTCAACAACTCTTAATTTTACTTCAAGAGATTTAGTAAAGTTTCTATCATTGCCTAGTAGTTTCAAAAGTAACAATCGTTTACGGCCAATGTGTACAGTATGGCCCTTTCTTGCAATTCTGACTAATAAATCTTCCATCCCAAGAAGCTCCAAGGGCATAACGGCCTTTCTGGAACTAAGAAATTTGTTAACTCCCGAAGAAGAAGTTTGTTTTCACAAAAAAAAATCGTAAGAGAAGAAGTATGAGAGCCCATTTTTGATCTATCGTCGACGTTTTATCAAAAACGACTGCCGGGATTTCAAAATTTTCAAAAAGGTCGTTCAGTAGGGACTCGTGCTATCAGCCCAAAGATAGCCCAAGCAATTTGTTTATAATTAGCACAAAAGAGTATTTTGATTTTTTTGAATTACCTACATATGTTGATTCATTCTCTTGTACATACATGGTCTGTTCAAAAAAGTACCCGGAATTACTAATAATTAAATTTCGCGGGTCTGGAGTGTCTGATTGTCAAAATTTTTTTTTTATTGTGTTGGTATACATGCCCCTAAAGTATGATGAAATTTTCAGCTATATTCACTGTTTACTTTGTCTGTGGTAGTCGCTAAGGTTCGACGTGTTTTTCTGAGCTCGGCGATTTTTTACAATGGAAGAATTGAAAAAGTCAAAGAATTTGTATTAAATTTTGCGTAAAAAATGAAATAAAGTGTTGCAAAGTGCAAAAATTCACCAGATATGGCTCCGTGTGACTTTTTCCTATTCCCAAAGTTGAAGAGACCCATGAAAGGACGGCGGTTTTCCTCGATTGAAGAAAATCGCCGAGAGTGCTCAAGGACATATCAAAAAGTGAATATCAAGGGTGCTTCGAAAATTGGAAAAAACGCTGGCATAAGTGTATTATATCTGGGGGGGGACTACTTTGAAGGGGACCACATTAATGTAGACGAATAAATAAATATTTTTTTGAAAAAACGAAAATTACGAAAACTTTTTGAACAGACCTCGTATATTGCGAACAAGATAATAAAATAGTGCTGTATGGCATTGTGCCTTAAGGCAAATTGCAGGAATAATAAAAATTTGCGAATAGATTATTATAAATACTGTAACTTACATTAATCTTATTTTATAGACTATACTAGCTGACCCGGCAAACGTTGTTTTGCTAAGTAAGGTATATTCTAAACAATTTCTAGAGAATCAAAAATATTAATACTATAAGTGTATAGGGATGTGTTGTTTGAATGCTATATACAATGAGGTATTATAAAAACAATAAACCCCATTAGTTTGTCTATGTTTTGTCAATTCAATCAAAACTGGAAGTTTTATACACTTTCTATAGAAATCATGGTATAATCCAATCCAAGTATTTTTTTGGTATTTCGACTTATTGATTACGTTTTAAACTTTTCAGATTCTTTTGGATTCTGGTTTTTGTGTATAATTGTAAATACTACTACTGAGCTTATACAAATTTTTCAAAATTCTGCGAGGAGAGATAGAAAATAAATTAGATATATCTGCTTTGACCTGCTTTTTGAAAAGTTTCAAGTAACATACCTTGAATTAAATTAAATATAATAAAAAGTATATACGTACAGCAGGGCAAGGCTTAAAGGTCCAATTTGAGTTTGAGCAAATATAAATTTTATTATGAAAATGAAACCAACTTCATCACAACAAATGACACATTTCAAACGAACAATTAGCTGACTACGTTCAGTAAAACTACAGACTTCGTCATTTTAAAAATGTGCAGGTATTTTACAAAATATTTACATTTTTAACTAATGCTAAAAAGCTACCAACAGAAGAAAATACTTTTACTATGGATTTTCAAAGATGACCGTTTATCTCCCAATATCAAAGTCATAAGAATCAAGGTTATAGCTGGTTATACATCTTTCTCCCTTCACTTTCAAATAATGTTGTTAAGCAATGCTTCAGCTTTACTGGATTTTGACACTTTGGTCGTGAAACTTTTAACCCCGTACCTTCATATATTACTAACCATTCTTTGATAAATTCTGGGAAATTATAACTGGGAATAAGTTATTCGACAAAATGTACATGTAAATGTAAGTAATGCTCTTTTTCAGTCTTGGTCGCGGCATTATTATTAAACTTCACTTCACCTTATATATATATATATATATATATATATATATATAGTATCATAGATTGAATAAACTGCATGGATAGTTTATAAATAATTAATTCTGAATTAGAATGAAAAACGGGCTCTAAACTACCTCTCTGCCACCAATTACTGAGCCACAGCAACGCGTGGCCGGGCTAGCTAGTATTTTTTTTATATATATAAATATACTATCAATTAAACTGAAAATCGGGATAAAAAGTATCCTAAGTCCTTCTCCTGGCTCTAAACTACCTCCCTGCCAATTTTCATCTAAATCGGTTCAGCCGTTCGTGAGTTATAAGTGTTAGCACATAAAGCGATCCTCTTTTATATATATATAGATATAAGAGCTTTAGATTGGACGACGAGATTTAGAAACTTCCCATAGGGCAGTTATAGTAATGTGCCGAAAATCGAAATTTAAAATTTTTGCATTTCTCCACGTTTTGAAGGTTTCTGAACATTTTGGCATACCTCGAAAAAATAGATGTGTGTGTGTGTTTATGTATGGATTCGATCACGTTTTCGGGTGCACGGATCAACCGATTTGAACAGTTCAAAAAACATTCAATTCCTCCTGATAGGGAGATGTGCTGATTAGTTTTTGGCAAAGGCAGGTTCAGCGATTTCGGAGATATGGTGCAAAGTGTGCAGAAAATATAAATAGAGTTTTTGGGAGAACGGAATATGCGATTTGAATGATCTAAAAAACATTCAATTTGTAATGATTGGGAGAAGTGGTAATTAGTTTTTGGCAAATGCAGGTCCAGCTATTTTGAAGATACAGATCTAAATGTACAAAAAATGGCAGTTATTGAGAGAAATAAGCATCCGATTTAAATAATTTAAAAAACTTTCTCCTTGTGTTGACGAAACAATTGCTTTTGAAAAAATTTCATGTCAATTTTTTATTTCAAAATAGTTTTTTTTTATAATATATTTTTTATATATATTTTTTATATATTATAAGTGAATAATTTTAACTTTGTAATTCAGTTTACATAATTCTTATAAATATTCGACAATGTTATAGTATTTATTTATAATAATCTATTTGAAAGTATTAGTATTTCTCGAACATTTCGTTACGGTACGGAAAGTTCCAGCAATTTGCTTTAAGGCACGATGCCTATCCTTAGCTATGACCACTAGTTTAACTTAACCAACCAGATTTAAAATAAAGGATATTGACTAATATTTATTATATAAACTGAATTGCAAAGTTAAAATGATTTATTTGAAGTATATAAAAGAGCTTCTCCATTTTATGTAGAATTAAAATTTAAATCCGAATTATTATCTATATTCAAAAAAATTCTTTTAGGAAATTCAAAAAAAAAAGAAATAAAAAAAATCTATCGTTTCACTAACACAAGCAGAATGCTTTTTGGATCATTCAAATCTGATGATGCTCTCAAAGAGCAGAATTCTATTTTCTGCACTCTTTGCTTCGTGTCTCGGAAACGGCTGGACCAACTTTTGCCGAAAATCAACAAGTGTCCTTATAATAGGACTCGTTTGTTTCATTGAATCCATCAGTAAAATCAGTCAATCCGTGCGCCCGGAATAGTGGACGAAAAATTGTATCCACACATATACACACACACATTTTTTCAACATTCTAGATCCTCCCCCCACAAAGTAATGCCTAACGGCGGGTTCCGTGAGGACCAAAGGCAAGGGCAAAGCGGAGGTTTTAGTCGGTATTATATCATGGCGGTATTGAGTCCGACATACCCAGACAGAACAACAGTCTGGGATGCATAAAGGCATTTCCTTCGCTATACAAAAAAACAACTAGTCGTATCTCGGGTGTATGGCATCGTATATATATATAAATAAATCGCAAAATTTGTTGGTAAGCGCATAACTCAACAACGCCTGGACCAATTTGACCAATTCTTTTTTCAAAATGTTCGTTGATGTCAAAGGATGATTCTTACGACAAGAAAATATCGAACAATTGCCAGGAAAACCCTAAAAACAGCCCTTTTTTTCTCATACAAACGTTTTCTAATTAAAACGTAGAATCAATTTGAGCTCTATTGCTTTTATATAAAGTTCATATTAAATTACTCACTGTATTCTTCTTCTAAACGATTATTTTGGATTTTGATAAATCTTTCTGAAGTTTGTTGAAGAAATTTTCTGGGATGTATGTGCAATATTGAAGAAATTTTCTGGGATGTATGTGCAATATTATAGAAATAAATGGAAAAAATTGTAAAAAACGACATATCATTGTTTGCATTGAAAACAAATGAAAACTATCATCTGCCAAAAATTTCAATTTACTTATGAACCTAGACAATATTAGAATATGTATAATAAATTTATGATTATGAATAAAAAAAATGAAATGTCTACATTATTTTTGCCAAAAAGCAGCTGAGATGCGCCAGAAATTAAAACAATATAAAATACAGTATATTATGGCAGATTGAATGATACACATTTGACCAGGTTTTGATAAATTAATTCACTTAAAATGTGACAATAAGTAATAACCAGGGCCGGTACTACCTTGAACGCGACGCATGCGAAAAATACGAGCGCACGCTTCAGGGGGCGCCAACACAATATTCGGACATAAAATTTTCTATATAGTTTTTTTTTTTAATATATAAATTCTTTGCATCTTTTACTAATCTTTCCACAATATTCATAAAATTCGTAAAAATTTCACTTTATAACAACAAATGGGAAAGTAAAGATTAATACATACAATTCGGCCCTCACGATATCGATTAAGAGAAGTTTAAGATGCAATTTTGGATATCTTAAATAATAAAAAATTGAACTAGTGGGGTGTATCGTGCCTTAAGGCAAATTGCTGGAACTTCCCGTACCGTAACGAAATGTTCGAGGAATATTGAATGTTTTCAAATAGATTCCCAGTAAACACTACTTGTTGCCGCAATATAACTTTTTATGTTACAAAGTTATATAACAAGTGTTAACTAAATGCAATGTACGCGCAATGTATTTTGAAGTTACAAAGTTATATAACAAATGTTAACTAAATGTAATG